TGTGTCACAAGCTTCACCAACACAAAGTTTCATTAGTTGCCAACCCACTGAGGTTAGCAAGAAGGAAACAAGATTGCAGCCAGAAAGCTTCCCAGTCTGAATATAGCATTCAGTCACCGTAATTCTGTACTTTTGAATAGGCCACGCTGACCAGGACTACAGCAGTCTTCTGAAGTTAATCCTTTCTGGAGACATTAGGCAGTGCTGCACTCCAGTTGCACTTCACTGTTGAAAAAGAAATGCTGCATATCTGCACATCATTAACAAGCTGTCAAACTGTATTTCTATGCTTGACCACAAGTGGTCAACTGACTGGAAACTGAGGTCTTGTTCCTCTGGTTGTTCCCCATCCCTCTGAAAAAAGCTGTCACCATACAAGTCACTCTAAGCAGTTTCAGCAGAGGTAAGGTGCCCATTCAGTACAACACTTTGTAACCACCAAGTACAAAAGCTTTGTTTGGTTCCCAAGCTTCCAAACAAGAGAAACACTTCTTTGCTCTCCCTGTGACAGGATCACCTTGAGCTGCAGTTCCGGAATCCTGGAGCCCACAGCTCTGTAATTTCCTCACTCTAGCACAGCCTAACTCTCAAGAAGCAGCATTTCCCATTTTCTTCCTACAAACCAGAAAGAACCAATGTTGTGCCTCTCCCACTTGTACCTTTACACTTGCTGACAATTTCCAGCATCTTCAAAGAACTATTATCGACAGGCCTTCTGGGCTAGCAGTATATAATCAAGAGAGAATACTACCTCGCACATTAAGAAGGCCCCACCAGCGTGCTGGACCAGTGCAAACACTGATTAAACCTCAGAAGCTGACAACATAACAAGTGTAAGCTTGCCCCTCTCAACTACTTTTATTATATTTTTTATTTTTACTGCCAGCCAACACCTGCTCCTTCTCCCATAGAAAACCCCAGCTACTCCTTCTGAGTCAACTTTTTTTTTCCCCCCCCCCCCCAAAAAAAAGCTTATCCTAACACTAACCCTCAGGTTGCACGCAAAGGATGCTCCTGTCCTGCTGCTGTTCAAAGAGTCCTTCCAAATCCAGGTGGAAATATCTGGTGACACTGATTGGTTTCCACTCAGTAAAAAGTCACTGGTCATATAAGCAAGTAACACATATTAATTTGACAAATGACCCTTGTAACCCACTGAGACCACAAGCTTTTCAAAGATTAGCTTAGAACTCTTCCAGTACAACTAATTCTTCACTGAACAGCCCAGCTACTAGATTACCAGTCACTTCAGGAGCAAGAAAGCCTTCCTCAAGTTCCATGCCATTTCAATGAAATAAGCTTATTAAGTCCAAAATCTTGCGAACTCTTAACTGGAACTCTTCTTTCCCAGCTTTAGCCTAGTCATTTTTGTAGGTTATCCTACCAATGCATCTGAAATGACCCCGCCACCTGCAGGCCCTATAACTGCAGGTCAGCCTAGTAGTGCCTTACATACACTTGTTTGTTTGTTTTTTTAAATATGCCTGACTCCTTAGGCAAGGATTATACTGATTCTGACTCTGTAGGTCAAGTGCCTTTAGGATTTGCCCCTTTGATTCCTTAAGAATTGCCTCTTTAATGAGGAAGAAAACCCCAAGCAGGTAAAACTTGTACATCTCCATTCTTTCTCCCTGCAGCTGCTTCTTCCTATTCCTGCTCAAGTAGGAGTGTTTGTGAATCCAAGCAGCCAACGTTCACATTAAAAAACGATCCATTATAATCAGGCTTACACTAAATCTGTTCTCCTATGCCACTTCCCACATGAACACTTGTGCCATTCCAAAAAAAAAAAAAAAAAAGCAGCACAGAAGCAAGAATGAACAGCTGGGAAGAGGTACAGGATCATCTTTCAGCATGAGCACTGCTTCAACTATGGCATTAATGCACACTCGGATCTATTACGTTTCGTATCCCCCTCTCCCTTCTCCTCTAAGTACCCTTGAACTCTTGTCAGCCTTTGTATGAGTAGTACTGTAAACTGTACTGTTTAAATAACAGGTCTGAGCAAAAGCACAAACCACTTACACACACACAGACAGGCTACCGCAGCAAGGCAGAACCACAAGTCTAACTGCTGGAGAACAAGCAGTCAATTGAAATGCCCTCAGTAAAAGGGAAGAACTACAGTTAAGTAGAAATTGTTCCTCTCCCTGGTTGGCTACCATAAATACAAACTACTCTTTTAACACCTCCCTCTCCTACGGCTCCTTTTTCCCGTAACTTCCAGATAAAGGCACAGCTTACAGACTGGTCTTCAAGCAAATCCCTTTCCCATAGGTTTGTCCCAAAGCAGCACGTGCATTTGCTGTTACTCATCTGCAGCTGAAGTAATTTCAGAACACATCATAGACGTAATTTCAAAACCACGCTGCAACACCACCAGAGTTATCACTTCTCAAAGACATTCCTTCCCTGAAAACAGCTAACAAGACTGCTTGAAACAAACAAAATTATTAGAATATTCCTTCATTCCTGTTGTTCCATAAGAACATAAAGACTCCACAGTTCAAGTGCTTCCACAACAAGCTACCCATTACACAGAACTTTTAAGAAAGTCTACCTCCTGATTCCTAAAACAAAATCAGGTATTAAAAAGTGCTGCCTAAAAGGTTTCTTCAGGCATTAAAGCTTTCTACCACAGAGAAACTTTTGATTTCTGAGTATTCTATGTGAGTTATTTATACAAGAACATAATTATTCAGATTGTTCCCTTACAGTGAGATAGATAACTACTCCCCACTCTGTAATCACAGAATGCAAGCGCTAATGAAGTAGAAATGTGTTTTTTGTCATCTTCAGCCCATATTAATGTTCTCCACTAGTACGTATCCAAGGAAATATTCATGTCAGGTCCCAAATAAAATCTGTTCTATCTCGTAAGAATCACTGTGCTCTAGAATCTTCTTTAGAAGATTCTATTGCAAAGGGATTATTTACCTTGTGCTATAGTATGACTACACACAAAGAAACAACGTTCCAGTCACTTACATGTTTGGTCAACAAACCAGCCACCTCCTCCTAAGCACTATTTCCAGTGCTTCATTTTTCTGAATAGTGTTAACAATCTCTAGGATCAAGAATCTTGCACAGAACTGGCTGCTGCAAGGCTCAGCTGACAGCCACCATCTGACATTCAAAAAAGGGGTGTTTCTTTCAGGAAACAGTGTACATCACAGAAGTTAAGCTCAGAGGACATTCCAAACTTGAAAAAGCTTCGCACTGTCATCCTTTATTACTGTCTCCATTTCTTTCCTGGTACAAAGGAAAAATGCAGCACTATCAGATGTTCCCAAGCCCACTGCTCCCTTCCCTGGCACACATACCCTGCAGGCTCTAATTGCAGCTAATATGGACTGTGTACAGCAGCTCCCCATCCCCAGCCGTTTCTTATGCAACCAGGCTCCACCTCACGTTACTTATGTAACACATTAAGTAGCGTCTATTATACAGGATTCTTCTACATTAGTCACATACTCAGTAACTTCCATTCCAGTCGTTTTAACACAACGCATCCACCAGAAATTGAAACTTCATACCTCACCAGGTTGCCACTGCACAGAAAAGAAACAAACCACACCACTGAACATATTAACATCTGGAAAAGTGCTGCCAGATGTTTCTAAATGTAACAAATCACCATCATTTGCCTCAGCAATTGTAGATGTTAAGTTTGTTTGCTGGGTCAAGTGCAGAGGCTCACTTTACATTGTACCACACAAAAACAAGATGTGGGAACCAGCACCAAACTGCCCCAAAAGCATGAGCAGCCCACCCGACCAGTACAGTGGGCCATGCCCCTCGAGAAGAAAGACGGGTTAGAATTGGAAAATGTACATTTTTCACCCTCCCCTCTCCCCGAATCCTGAGATAAAATACAGAGCCAGAAAATATATTTTAACGCAATGAAATCCTAGGTCAGACTCATACTACCACATCCTTCTCCTGCAGCAAGACAAGGGAGCCCGCAGCACCTGCACGTTGCAGGCCCCTTTTCCCTACGTACACACCAGGATCCCCGTGCTAACACTGCAGGCCCTCTACGGCCTAGCTGTAACGCGTGCCACATCGCTCCTCCGACAGGATCCACTAGCACACACAGAACACTGGCGCTGCCTTTCCCACCCAGCAGCGCCGTTCCGACAGAGCAGAGACGTGAGCAGGTTCCGGCCCTTCCCTCAGCCCCCCCCCAGCGCCACACGCTCCGCCACGACGCCGCACGGCTGTAATGAGGTCACTTCACAGGGCCCAGAGCCTCCGGTCGGTTACTCGGAGCCTGACTTACATCGGGGAGGGGAGGCCGAGGAGGGCGCTACGGCAGCGGAGGGCGGATGGAGGGCCTCCCCCGAGCGCGGCTGCACCCGGGAGAGGGGCGGGGAGCAGGGAGAGCGACGAGAACCTTCCTCGGCGGCGGCTACGCCCTCGCGCGCGGGGTTACGGGGGGGAAGGGAAGGGGAAGCGACGCGGCAACGGCGGCGCTGGGGGAGGGGAAGCGCGAACTCTCCCGAGCGCCGCCGCCGCCTCAGCCGCGTTGGGCGGCAGCCAAAGCCCACAGGAATGCAGCGCGGTCACATGACCTCCGGCGGACGTGCGGCTCCCTTCCCTCTCCAGGGAGACCCTGCGCCATCTTGAACTGACGCAGTTACAAAAGCAGGCGCAAACCGCTCCTCTCTCTCTCGCTCTCTCTCTTCTCCCGCTCCACTCCTCCCGGCCCCGCTAAGGAAGGAGAAGCCGAGGCCTTTTCCCGCTTTCCTTTTCGCTGGGGATCCCCCGCCCGCGCCGTCCTCCCTCGCGCTGGGATCATGGCGCCCGTTTTCTCCCTTTGCACCAACCTCCCCCGGCAGCGCCGACCCTGCCCGGCTGCGGCGGCCCCTGCTGCAGGATGATGTCAGCGCCAGCCAATGGGGGCGCGTAGTGCCGCTCGGCGGGGCCGCCGATTGGATGCGCGCAGAGCCCGCCTCCCCCTCCTGCCTCAGTCCCCGCCGCGGTTCGCTGCGGAGGCGCAGCCGAGGCACGAGTGGGGGAGGGGAAGAGGAGGGGAAGGAGAAAAAAAAAAAAAAAATTACACAAAAAAACCGACGACCAAACCCACCGAGCCGCCGGCCGCCATTTCGCGCAACAACAGGCAGAACCCGAGCGAGCAGCCCCGGCCAAGCACCCTAAGGAGAGAGAGAAAGAGAGAAACAAGAGACACACGCACAGAAGAGTTAGACAGGAAAAAATACCCATAGACTCCGCCATGTCACAAGACGTTTAATCGCCCCCCTCCTCCCTCAGGCTCACTGCCCCGCCACAGCCGCCTCCGCTGCGTCCGAGCGGATCCCTTCACCTCGGCTCCCTCCTGCTGCAGAGCACCCGTTAGAGCCCCAAGCTCTGCCCGAGGGGCGGGGGGACGCTTAGGCTACGGCGCGGCCGCTAGCGGCTTCTCCGGTCACCCGCGTGTGGCGGCTCCATCGAGGCAGGGCAGCGGCTGCCAGCCCCGCTTTTATCCGGTGCCCCGCGTTTGCGCACTGAAGGAGGCTCGCTCAGCCCCTGGTGGGCGTCGAATGAAACCCCAGCCACCGCCTCCCCTCCCTCACTGCGCCGGAGGGGCTGAGGCCGGGCAGAGCGGGGAGGGGACGTGGCGGGGGGAGCGGCGGAGCCGAGCGGCCCGCCCGGTCCGCACAAAGCCGAACGTTCCCCCTGCGCCGTTTCCCGGAGGAGAACGGGGATCGGCGCTGAGGGGAAGGAGCGCCGTTCCCGAACACTCTGAGGAAAAGAGCGTTGTCGCCCCAGCCCCCGGCAGTCGCTCAGAGCCCCGCACTGCCGTGACGCGGGCCCGCTCAAACCTCCCACTCCCCTCCCCTCGCTCCTCCGTGCGGCTCTTCGTGCGCTCCGTGAGGAAAATTTACCCCTCTCTTTGAGATTAGCGACGAGCCGACGTAGCTGAGCGCGATGCCGGCCGCCAGAAGGACGCCGGGGTGGGTGCCCCAGAGAACCAGCCTCTGAGTCAATCCCCCCACCGGCGTTCGGGGCCGCGCGCCGGACCCCTCTCGCCGTTCCTCCCCCGTCCCGCGCGCCCCCATCAGCCCCCAGCGGCTCCCTGGCCCCCGCCGTTCTCTGTTAAGGCGCAAAGAGCTTTTGTAAAATGGACACTGAGCGCTCGGCGGGTGCAGCCCGCGCTCCAGCCCACAAGCAAAATGGCGGCTGTTTGGCTTCGCCTTGGTAACCCTGCCCCTGCCAGGCGGGGCGGGTGAGCCCCGTGCAGGGGGAGGGAGGGGAGAGCGGACGCCATTTTCCCAGAGAGAGGCAGTGACATAGAAGGGAGCGTAGGAGGCTGAAAGGAGGGAGACACGGGAGCAGGGGCGGCAGCGGGGTTTGTACACAGGTCCCGAGGCAGAGGCGCTTCTCAGCCGGACCCCGCCGGGCGCTGCGCACTCAGCTGGTGCCGGGGGAGGAGGGATCTCCCCGTTCTTTTCTTTCTTTTAGCAGAGTGCTGAGGGTCGGTCCTGCCCAGGGCAGGGCTCTCCGCAGTAGGGCGGCTGCAGCGGGCTGGGATAGGAGGGGGCCCGGCTGAGGTGTGCTGCTGTGGGCCTGTCACCATTCCAGGTGAGTCCGTGCTCGTTGCCACCGCGTTCTGCCGGGTGCTGGGGGAGGGGGCTGGGAGCAGGGGGTGGACGCCGTAGGACGGCTCTCTGCCCCACTGACTGGGGCTGCCTGCCCCTGGAACGGGTTTGGATTCTGCCGGAGTTGCCTTGCGTTCGTTTTTCCTTTTGTGGGCTTTGGCTAAAAAATGGCAGACTGTCGCTATAGCTTGTGAACATGGCGGGTTACTGTAGCTGGAGGAGCTGAGGGGAATTTTTTGGCAGTTCTGCCAGATTTATACATTATGCCTGGAGAAAGAGCCGGGAGAGGCTGTTAGGTGAAAACAGACCTTGCTCAGGGGGGTGGGTTTTAAGAAGGGGTTTGAGTGTTATTGGGACTGCGTATCGAGTTGTATGAAGCTCAGGGAGATCTCTTCCTCCATCCTGTATGTTTGTGCTTTGTGACACTAAAATGGTCGTTGTAGGCCTAATCTCCCTGCCTTCCCCACCCCCGCCTCCCCTCTGCCCCCCGCTCCTATCTCTGCTCCTGGGTAACCTGGTGCAGGGAAGCTGTCCTCAGGAGTTTCTGTGCCAATTTAATAGGGATCGTTCTCCCCACCCCCTTTCTCGGGGTTGTGAGTAGTGATATTGGCGCATCCCTTTCTTGCTTCAGTGCCTGTAGCCAGCGTTCGCCTTGCTAGGCTGGCGGATTTTAGTCATAAGGAAATAAATACTGGTGGAGCAGCCCCTGTCGCTGCAGACGTAGGGGAGGGGAAACAAACGGTTCACTGTACGGTTCTAAATAGGGTAGACAAACATAATATAGTCTGATTACAAGGGTCCTGTATTCCCCCTATACTCGGCCATTAGGGATGTGCGGTGGCCAGGAGTCAGGAGGTCCCTAACATGGTGCACACCGTGTCGCTGAGGGCAGGGGCTCAGTGCTGCAGCTAGGTTCAGGAATGTGTTAGTGTGTTTATTTACAGTATATTGAAGGAATAATAATGAAACGTTGCAGTTATTGAGGGCTTTGCTTGGAGAAAAGAGAGATTTATCCACAGCCGTAGTTATAACACGTAATTAATTGATTGCAATGGCCATACTTTTAAAGTTACTTTTCAAAAAATGTGGAGTAAATTTTTTAATTTCCCTCTTTTGTCCTTTAGAGATTCTAAAAATGGCGGCCTCAGGCTGATGTTGTGGTAATCTAATCAGCTTGGGTCCTCCACACCCCATGCAGCGCGTTTGTCTGCAACGTATTACAGCCTTATTCTGTTAAAATGAAAAGACCGTTCTCTTCAAATAACACACAAAACATCTCCTGACTTTGCTGCAATTTAAAAATGCTGTGTTCCAGCTGATTAATTTTATTGGTTATGTGTGTGAAAGGCAAGTGAACGAGACCACTCTTGTCGGGGAAGCGGGGGGTGGAAAGAGGCAGGAGTGCTTCTCTGAGGGGTGTGTATGGGTTGCTGGAAGGTGGTACGTCTGCCGGTGTAGTAATTTGGAAAAGCTCCTGCCTTTGCAATAGGCGCAGTGTGTCTGCCCATCCTCTTACCAACCTAAAAGCAGTAATATTTTTCAACCTAAGGAAATTCAGATCACTAATTCAGTCAGCCAAATTCTGGGTGGAATCACATTTGTGAACGTCATGTTCACCTTCCAGGAAATACCTTTGCTGGACGTTGGGGTGGTAATCCCCTGCCTTCATGGTTTGGGAATGCTGAAAGAACTTAATGCTTGGGGAAAAAATGCATGCAGGATTATAACCTGTTACTCTATTAAAGACGTAGAATTTCTCCTGGTACCATGCAATCTTAGTATTAGGCTTTTTCTTTAATTTGTGTATTCCTACATAAAACGTATGTATGATAAGACGCATACATTTGTATTGTACTGAGTGAAAGTGCAATTCCTAACCTCTAATTTTTTTCCAAAATGAAATATGAACCTTTTAGTATCACCACTATAAATATGTTTGGGTGGGGGGAAGGGAAGTCACAAGGATTTGGTGGTTGGTGTAGTGTGCTTTGATACAAACTATAAAGACTGCATACTGTATGTTTAACCAGCAGCAACAAAAAAGAAATTCACATTTGTCGTTTTTGTCTTTAATATTGTCCTCGGTTTGAAGAGATGTGAGTTTGTATTCCAGTATAGCTTTAGAAGCTTCTGGATTGAAACAAGCAAAAGTGAAGTACTGAAATGGCAAAATTGTCTTCGGTCTCTGAAGGATTTTAATTTAGATACTGCTCGTATATGTCACAGCACAGATGTGTGGTTTAAGGTACACCTGAGGTTGAACGTTCAGATGGGAAGACTTTCGGTACTGTTAACACTTGCTTTTCGTATGCTTTGAGGCCAAAAGCTGTGTGATTTCAACCACCAAGTGAGGCGTTAATGGGCCAACAATGCATGCTCCCAATGATACCTTCCTCATATTATACAAATTCTATTTATTTATTTATGTTAAATCACATCTTACTCTCTGTTTATTAGAAAGGACACTGATACGGTTCTGAAGAGTTGTAGGTATGAGCCTCTTGAAAAAAACGTTTGCCATTTTTATTTCCTCTTTCGAGGTGTTTTCTTGATTGCTTTTTTTAACATCACAACGTGGAGGGCTGCACCGCTCTATTTCATGGCCTCAGTCATGTTCTCGGGCAGATGTCCAATTCCAGATTAACATTAAAAGAAACAATTCTGTACAGTTTACAGAAAGTAGTGTTGGGGGGAAAAATGAAATTCAGAAATTGGAATACGCAAGTACAATTGCTAGGGATTGCAGTTTTT